CCCCCCCCCCCCCCCACTCACACGCACATCCTCTCCGCCACACACAGTATCATACAGAGCTGTGGTGTGGATTCCGTGGTTTTAGGGAGCGTTCTTGAATGTGGGTTATTTTGTAGCTCCTACTTGGCTCGGTCCTGTCAAAGATTGGCATTAAAATCAAAGGTTCAGCAACTTGAATAGCCTTATTTATAAAATTGAAAGTGGCATCCACACTGTGGGTGTTTGGCGGGTGCTTTGGTGTGGTTTGCTTCTTCTTTCCTATCAAACGTCTATCGTCTTTATCTCCCCTCCTTCTAGTCTTGTGCACTTATATGACCCTATTGTGTTGCAAGTGCCGTAAAACTCTTACCAAAACTAAAAACTTAAGTCCACCAAGTGCTCATGGTGAAAGGAGAGCCATGTACTATTTCACTTGTCTAATCATCTTTGTAATATTATCTTTTAAAAAAATGATGCGTGTATAGTCGAACCTGTCTGATCATCTTTGTTTACCTTTAAAAAAAAGCCTACTAACTTGAGGGGCCCGTAGATGTTATCAATATAATAGTGAAGCCCCACCGCCGAATTTGCCTGAGGGTGTATGGCCTTTTCTCTTTTTTCTTGTGATTACATCTATCCGTGTGTGATGCACTTGTTGCCCTGCACGTCAAGGACATGGGTTTATTCTTCATCTTCTTTTTTTTTTTTTTTTACTTTTGTTTTCTATGACCATCTCCTTTTTCGCGTTTTAGCTATGACAGGAGTGGTTGAAGTAACCTGTCAGAAGACCTGGCCAGGTCATTTTTTGTTGTTGTTTGTTTGGTTGGTTTCTTTGGTTTTTTTGGGGGGGTGTTTTGTGTTGTTGTTGGGTTTTTTTTTGGTTAAGTGTGTTTTACGGCGCTCGCAATTGTATACTGTCATTGTCATACGCGCTTGCAGGACACATTAAATATTTTCAGTTGGTAGGAAATTTTGAATTTTGCCGGGGTGGCGGTTGAAGTCTACTGTTATCGATTTTGGACCACCAAGGGATATTTAACGTTCGATTTTTTTTACTTCCATTAAATTCTCAAGTCTCCTAAGAAAGCAGATTTCTGCTGCTTTAAAGTTTATCGCCACTATCGTTGGCAATAGTCCAGTATTCACATCCACGAAGAAGGGTTGGTCATACTACATACTCTTTGATAATTCTTATTTCAGTTGTCTTTGAGAAATTTCTGTTTAGCAGGGTTTGACGCTTTTCTATTGAAACTGCCTTTAGCTAATGCAGTTCTTCATTTAATTTCTTTGATACATGATCTTTTCTTCTTTGTCTATGAGATTACAAACGGATTTAGTACTTTAAAAAACCCCCACGCATTTTGTTTTCTTTACATTTAAGGACGATTCCTTACGTTCACTTTACGTCACAGCGGTATCTAGATCTAGAAGCAATTGAAGGT